AGCATTTCCAGGGAGGCGAGTTTTCTTTTCTTTTCGGTTTTCTTATTTGTTAGAAGGAGGTTTATGTACAGATTTTGCGCTTTCTGAGACGCCCTTTCAGGTACTCTGTTTATGGTTGTTTCTAAAATTGTGGATTTTCAACAGCAGTTTTCATTTTTACGATAAATTTTATGAACTCTAACTTCGACTGGTGAAAACAGCCCTGTACTCTTAGACCAATCCAGAAACTCCAAGAAAATTCCCACCAGACGTTGACATGGTTATTCTCTGGCCAGGCCTGGCTCTTGCCTCCAAATAGTCTTCTCATAGATGCGAAGCATATCCATTTGTACCTAAAAATGGTTGGTTAAAAAAAACACGAGAAAACTCAACTTTATATCTTTGATAATTTTTAAATTATCGAAATTGGTGACCTGAATTTGATTTAAACACCCTAAGCGACGGTCGGCACACATGTTTTTTGTACATACAAAAAAACATGATTTTTTGAGTAATGATTGAATACACATACAATTGTCGTCAATAGAGGCTGGTTTCCTGAGTTTTGAACGTCATTTCGGTTTGCATTTAATAATTTTTCAGAATTTTTAAAATATTTTTGATAAATCAAAAAATAATTTCAATCAAAATAAATTTTCAATTGGGGTTGGTTTCAGTGTTGGTTTTTAAGCAATCATTTAATTCCATAATGGAGGCTGTTCAATAATGGAGGCATAATGGAGGCTGGTCAACGTCTGTGTTTATGATAACTGTGATAAAAAACACAAAAATTCCGAAATCAAGAAGAACAGACGCATGATACCAAACTTCAAATCAAGTAAATACAACGCAAATTGAGAATTGAGAATTTTTATGTTTGGTTCGATTCGGCTAGTTTGGATTGATAGACATCAGATTCAAAGAATCAATTTAGTTGGCTCAACAAATAATTGATCCAACGATCCATGTTTTGGGAGCCTCAAAGAAGTTTCTGCTAAATTTCTTGATCTCAAAAATTATTTTGATGGTCAAAAAAAATTTTGTGAAAACAAACTAAATCAGGAAAAAGACAGATTCAAGCTCGATTTAACTTTGTTCATCGATGCGTTAATTTTATTTGACCGATCACTTAAAATAAATTGAATAGAACTAATGCGTAGAATGCAATTTTTGAAAAAAAAAGTATGCACGGCATTCAGTGTTAAAACTTATTAACAATTCTGAATTATGAATTCGATCGCAAGCAGATTCTACACAACAAATAATTAAGTTTTTCGGCGTGAAATTATTTTGGGCATTATTACAAAGAATTATCACACACGCATTCAATTTCACGGGGGGATTCGACATCGACCGACGAACATTATGATTTTCTTTTTCCAGACGTTTTGAAAGGGTACATTCGAGGGGGACTATTTCAGTGTTAGGCCTGCATCAAATAAATGGCTTCTGAAGCCTTCTCTTTGATCTTGAAATTTCTCAGAGTGAGTTGCCAATTTAAACAAACTTTTGATTTTTCATCGTTTTTCCTTTTTTGCAGTGAAAACTCTAATTGTAATGTTCAGGGCTCTTTGAACTTTTTTGGGCTACTAATAAGTACTAGGTATATCTATACTGTTATGATTTTTTTATCGATCAATCGGCAAACAAGTTTTTTTTCTTTCCGATCCAATTTTTATTAACATCGAATAACTTGTGTGGATGCTCAAAACAAATTTAATCGCAATTGATCATACTATCTCTTTGCAACCAAAGAATAATTTCCGTTGGCTTAAGCTTCGTTCCCTCTGTCAGCAGTCAAATTATTCAAATAATGTTTCTGATTTCTATGCTAACTTTTCGAGTTTTTTTGGACTTTAGCCACTTCTGTTGCATGTGGATCCTGAATTAGTTAAAGTTGCAAAAAAGATGAGCCGTATAACTTTTAAAAGCAGCGAAAATGTTTGGCTTTTACTTTTGCTTGAAGTTTTTTGAACAGGACTGATCTATCTAGGCGATGCCTTGAATATTCCGACTGCCTTCTGACGTCAATCATTTTTTTCCTTCAAATAAACTATTTTGAACAGTTAACTATTTTGAAAAAAAAAATAGAACTGGAGAAAAAATCATCACTGCGCACAAGTATTTGGTCACCTACTTCAAAAATCAGACAATAAAAAGATCGTGTTAGAGTTTTTATTGTGTTACTTTTAGACCCAGTCAACGTATTTTGCAATTTAAACAATTTTTTCTGGCTTGGGACCACAGCAATTTAATTTTTCAATTTAAATGCCGCGTAGAGATGAACTGATTTTGAGCTATTTTTTTCTTCATCTTTTGGCCTACTGATTTGCACTTTGAGTCGAAATGTTTTATAAAATACATTGATAATTGGAAGGAAATTTTCTTTTTCACTCCGAACTACCGCGGGTCAACGGTTTTTTTAAACCATGCTCTTGGTAATTTTTGACCGTACTGAAGGTATGTTTTGACCGTGCTCGGCCGTCCTCGAGGTATATTTGACCGGTCTCGAAGTGTATTTCGACCGTGCTCGACCTATGTTTTGACCGTGCTCGAAGTATGTTTTAAATTTGTGCTCGACCCAACCCCTGTTTCGACTACACTTTTTCAGTCGAGCAATGACATGTGCTTGATTTTGAAAGTTGAAACATAAAGTGAGCACCTCGACCCAAAGGGTCCGCTCTACAATCAATCTGCGGCTGATGAGTTGTTTGATGCAGTTAGAAGTCAACTCTCCAATCAAATATACAATTCAATATTTCAATGCTGTGTTATAAAATTGATGACCGTTATTTACTGGATAAAAAAAACAATACAGTTGAGGCCAACACTTCGGGGAAGCAGTGGCGAATAGGTTGTACTCGCCTCTCAATCAAAAGTTCGGATGTTTGAGGCCGAAAATGATCCGCGCTGGTTACTTGATGCAAGACACCTACTCCCAGGCCAGAAAATTAGCCAAATCAAATACATGTTTTTCATGTGCTGCGGCAGAGCAGCATTTCTTTGAGAGGCAATGCACAGCTCGTATGATGTTATTTTCCCTTATGGATATGACTAAATGCTCACTACAAATACTTCTATTGGCTGTAAACCCGTGTTGTCCAAAGCTTCTTAGCATACAATTTCCTTATAAGAAAAGCTTCGTGCCATGTAGTTCAATACAATTCCATAAATACAGAAGATTGTAAGAAATCTCTATGATAACCATTATTTCATCAAAGAAAATTAAATTTCTAAAAATTTTTGGGTTGTGTTCGTAACCGAACGCAACTGACAAAGACCTTGGTTCACTCAAAGCACCAAAGGTTGGACGGTATTGCATTTAAAATGCATAGAAATAGACCTGTCTTTCACAAACGTTATAACAAAAGTAACAAACTTATAAATTTTGGCAAATTTTTTCAACGATGATTATTTTTAAAATTTGAATTTCAAAATTATCAGACATTGATCAATACATATATAAACATGCCATACAAAAAATAGGTGTTTTCAGCGCTTTTGAAAAAAACATTTAAGCTAAAAGTCAAAAAAATCCAACATTAGTGTATTCAGGACTACGTTATGCATACAAAAATAAAGTTTTGCATGCAAAAAAAAAATTTGGAAAATGTTTGTTCGAGTACAAAAATCGATTTGCGATTGAAAAAAAAACGAAACAAATTTTAGAGGCAATTTCAAAAATACTTTCAAAAAAAGCCATAAAAAAAGCCAGTCAGGCAATTTCCATATATGGGAGTTGTATGATAAGCCTTTTTTCAGAAAACAGAAACCTCTTTTTTTTCATCACCAGACTTGGTGATTAAAATCAAACAGCAGCAGAAATTAGTATATATCTTTTTTCAACCATTTTTCGAAATTCTATGCCAATTTTATGACAAGCATTTTTCCATTCATTTGATGCATTAAATTGTATGATAAGCATTTTCGGTTTATGGAGGTCATCCCGGGAAACCAATATGTTACCAAAAACTACCCTAATGAAAAATAGACTATAAAAAGCAACTAACTGGCTCGTAAGCGAAAAAACTTCAATATTTTTTTGCCTTTTTAAAACTTTTTTTCTCTCTGAATTAAGTCAAAAAAGGATGAAGCATCATTCAATTTTGCTTTAATTTGCCATATAAAGAGCAAAAAAACCAATAAAATAAACGGATAACAATTCGAAATACAAACAATCAGTCTTTTGAAGCAAAAACTACGACTTTCAAACATAATAGACGAAAAAGTAAAGTGTTAATGTATGAGTTTAGAATACGAAAACTAAAAGTTTATGTTCTTACTGTTTCTCATTTTTTTCTTACTTTTTTCTTAGGTGCACTCCACCAAAAAGTAACCACAGATGCATCAGCATTGAGAACTTCTTTAAAAATTCTGCTGGTTTAAATCATAGGCGATTTTTGTTAGCAATTTTCTATATTATGACTTGCACAACGCAACTAGATAGATTTAGTTTAAAGTTAAAAACGTGTATAATGTGACTTATTCAAAAAAAATTCCAGTCAAATATAGCCTGACAAAAGTCACTGGTAGCATGAAACTGATTATAGCTAACTAAGTTTATAAAAATTATTTTATTATAAAACCAAACAAAGTTAACCAACCAAGGTCGACTGATTGAGGCTTTTTCGAATCCTTTTCTTCTGAAAAGACTTCCCTAGGTTTTTCGGATTTCTTTTATCTTTGCAAGGGGAATGTTGATTTGTGACCAGTCACAAAATTCACATATGCGTCGCTGTTTGACTAGTTATTTATAGCCGCGCCAATTCTGTAGCAGCTAACATAGGGAGATAGCTACAGAGATCCGTTTTCTAACTGCGTTCTGTAATAAAAGCCATTTTTTCCCTACTCCAAATGAAGTCGCATTTTCAACTATATGCTTAAAAAATTAAACTCAATAATACGAAATTGTTTTTTTTTCTGAAATCCTGCGAATTTTGAACGCTTGAATTGCAAAAAAAAGCAGTTTGAAAAGGCTTCTATCTGCTCCAGTGAATTCAGTGCTTTTATTCTTTGAAAATATGTCCAAGTCGAGCCCCGCTAATTGCATGTTCAAGGTCATAGTGGTGGGAGATAGCGGAGTGGGAAAGACGAACCTCTTACTCAGGTATGCAAGATCTTACAAGATCCTACAAGAAATTACAAGATCATATATCTTACAAGATGCTCTATCTTAACCCTTTAAACTTGTAAGGGTTCTAGTAAATGATGGTTATGTTGCATAATCTAAAAAGATTCTCGCAAATGACGCTTATCTTGCATAATCTTGCAAGTATGATATAATGGGGAGTTATGTTGCATAATTTTGCAAATTAGTGCAAATGGCAGTTATCATGCATTATCTTGTAAAATTCTTGCTCATGACGATTCTCTTGCATAATCTTGCAAGACTCTTGTAAACGACGGTTGTCTTTAGAATCTAAAATGTTTATCGCAAATGACGCTTATCTTGCATAATCTTGCAAGTATGATATAATGGGGAGTTATGTTGCATAATTTTGCAAATTAGTGCAAATGGCAGTTATCATGCATTATCTTGTAAAATTCTTGCTCATGACGATTCTCTTGCATAATCTTGCAAGACTCTTGTAAACGACGGTTTTCTTTAGAATCTAAAAAGGTTATCGCAAATGACGCTTATCTTGCATAATCTTGCAAGTATGATATAATGGGGAGTTATCTTGCATAATTTTGCAAATTAGTGCAAATGGCAGTTATCATGTATTATTTTGCAGAATTCTTGCTCATGACGATTTTCTTGACGAATCTAAAAAAGTTATCGCAATTGATGAATATCTTGCATAATCTTGCAAGAATCTTGCAAATGACTATGAAATTATTTTATCTAGCAATACTTTTGAATCAAGTTAACACCCCCCCCCCTAAATAGACCAAGTTAAAATCCTCCATCCCAGCGCTGAATTCAAATTAAAATTTTGTAAGCGCTGCGTGTAGAATGCTCTATTCTGATTGGCTGAAAATTCATACTCAGAACCAAGTTAACATCTTCCTCCCTAAACGAATTTAGGGGAGGATGCTAACTTGGTCCATACTTTTTCACATGACGGTTATATTGCATAACTTTGGATGGAGGGAGCGCATGAGGGAGCATGGGTTGAAGTTGCATTGCAATTCAGATTGTATCATTGTTATTGCATTGTTGTGACATGAACCAGACCAAATGCATAGATTTACTAGGTTTTTTCTATGTTCATTTTTCTACTATTTATTACGAAAACGTTGATGTGACATTAATGAAACAGCGATGTGACATCTATATTATGACAGTTTTGTTAAATTGATGTTATATCGATGGAAAATCTATGTCACATCCATTTTTGAACTTAATTTCATTTTTTACGAATTTTGATTTGTTTTCTAGGTTACAAACAATACAAAACGATTAAAATGGCCTTACAGATTAAAAACTGTTAAAAACCACGTAAACACGAGTCTTATTTTGCAAAAAAAAGAGAAGTTCAGCTTGATATGGTTAGTTTTTGGAGTAACATGGCTTGAGCAACTGAACTTGTTTGAAAAGGTTGATTTTCTTTACAAAAACTGCAAAAAAATTTTTTTTTGGTCAAAGTTTTTACTCACATCCGCCCACAGCTGAAAACAACCTAAAAACTCAGTTTTTCTGTCGCAAAACAGTTGAAACGTGTTAGCTTTGGTAGTTAGACGGCTCGAGCAACTTGATGCAAAATTGATGCATCAGCTGAAAAAAAAGCTAAAATTGCATCTTTTTTCTTAAAAATGTAGAATTGTGTTAGCTTTCGTAGTTAGTAGGCTCAAGCAATTTGATGCCAAATTGATGCATCCGCTGAAAACCAGCTAAAAACGCATCTTTTTTCTTAAAAATGTAGAATTGTGTTAGCTTTGGTAGCTAGAAGGCTCGAGCAACTAAATTTGCCTGTAAACACGGTATTTTTGATTAAAGATTGTTGTTTGATGGCTCGAGAATATCATTTGAACCCAAAGAATATTATTTACCTAGCAAAGAAGGTGGGAGCAACTTTGTTTTTGATTTTTTTTTTTTAGCTTTTTGTATATTTTTGTAATGTTTTTCTAGAAAAAACTATTCTTCAGAAAAATTCAAAACTTTTGCAAAAAAAAGATCAGAAAAGTTCTTTGATTTAAATTTTTTTTCTAAAATTTATTTATGTTTTGTCAATGTTTTAATGGACTTCGAAACGAAAGATAAATGCAGTTATTTAGAAATGTTTGCTCTGAACTACGTGCTCAGTTCGCCTGCGCAGAAATCTTTGTCAGAGTAAGGTTTTTGTAAAAATTTGGGAGAGCTGGGAAAACCAATTTGGTCGACCTATATAAAAAGATCAATTTTTTTTTGAAAATCCGCCGCTTCTCGGGAAAAACCTAGTTGCACCCTTGAATCGATACATGTTTTTGTACTGACCTTGAAAAATAGTATGAAAAACGATGAAAACCTAAAAGTCGTGGTTTTCTGTGATTTGTTTTTAAATAGGTACACAAAAGATGAGTTCAAAGAAAATCCTGCCTGCACGTTGGGAGCAGAATTGAGCAGAGTTGAAAAAAATATAGACGATGATCACGTGATTGTCGATTTGTGGGACACTGCAGGTTAGAAAAAAAACGATTTATTCAAAATTTGAAGAGCTTCGATGACTCACCGAAGCTAAAATTGGTAGTGGGGGTGGGCTGTTTAACTTCTTCGCCCTTTCTAATCAACGGAGTTTTCATTTTATCTTTGAGAAAAAAATTTGCTTTGAAAAAGAATCAATTTACACATAAAACAATAAAACATAATGTCGATGTTTTCATTCAAGAGCGGATCTAGCATTTTCTCGAGGGGGGGGGGGTTCGGGGGTCCTGATTTTGAAAAAAAAATTTTTGAAAATTTTGTCGATCATTTTTTTGAGTCGAACAATTTGATTTTCCGAGCTCTCCCAAAAAAGACCCTGTTTCCGCCAAACTATCTGCGCCCCTTCGCCTATAAATCTGCCCCTGTTTTCAGTAGAAGTAATGTTTCTGCAATCAATACTTTGTTAATGACTTTGTTAAGGACTATATTTAGTTTTTGATACGATCCGATTGAGTTTAAGGACAGGAAAAGTTCAAGAGTTTGACCAAAATCTACTGCCGAGGAGCTCATGGAGTCATATTAGTGTACGACATCTCAAATCATCACTCGTTCGAACAACTCGAGTCCTGGTTCCAGGTATTGATGGAAAATGGGTGTGACCCTATGGAATGCGTGTACTTCGTAATTGGAAATAAAACCGACCTAAATGACATCCGAGCAGTGGAAAAATCAGAAGGGAGGGCTTGGCAAAAATCTACAAAAAAAAACATAATTGGATGTAGCATAGACAGGCTCTGAAAATTGACGTCCCCGGTTAAAATATAGAGAAAAAGAACCATGTTTTTGTGATTTTCTACCAGACACTGTAGATAAATACATAAATAAATCATATGGTTCTAAGAAACAAACGAAAAATCTGAAAAAGAAAATTCGCAAAATTCTGACACTTTTCCAAAGAAAAACTGAAATAACTTACAAAAATCCAATAACTCAGTCAAAAAAATTTCATGCCTGTCTGAACGATTCCACTTTCTGCCATTTTTGGATGAAATTTTGTTAGTAGCGGTTTCTAAGCAGTCGAATAAATGGTGTGAGTTCGAAGTATTGTGTAGAGGTGTGATGAAAAAATTGATTCGTTTGATAAATACTAATATAGTTCGATCAAAAACTATATCGGACATCAACTGAAAATCCGAATCACGAACAAAAGAGTTTTTTTATATGATAACACTTGACCCCTAAAGAGCTTTCACTGACGCCGCAGTCAGAATTGGCTGGAAAAACCGACCCGAATCCAAAGTTTCTTCCCACTCTGAACAAAAAAAAACAGATACGCAATCTTTTTCAAAAACCAACCATTTTTTTATTTAATGTTCCAATAAAAGAAAATTTGAAGATTATTTGAAGAGAACACTAATAAACATAATTCTAGCTCTCACGTTTTTGCTGAAATATCTCAAAATAATTCTCTTTAACTTTTCCCCCCTTTTGCAAGGGGGGGGGGAGATTCGTTACTAGGTACAAAACTCACAGGTTCCTAACCATTGAATGATGTTCTTAACCATTGAATCCCCCCCCCACGTCACATAAGCATCAATTTTTTGGCATAACGAGGGGTTTCACAAGGCTAGATGTGATGACGAAATATGTTTGTCATAGCCTAGTTAGTACGCATGCCAAGTTTTGTAACAATCTGACAATGAAAACAAAGAAATTACTAGTGAAGATTTGCTGGTGGGGGAGGAAAAAGTGGCAATTATCTTTATAGGGGTGGCAATTCGTTACTGGGTACTTTAGGGGGGGGGGGGGGGGTTGCGGTAGTGGGGGTAATAGTTAAAGAGATCTCTCAATACAACTTAGGTGCTGATGTATGCCACGCCCACCTGAAGGAGATACATTTGCCGAGTCAATCAATGCAACATTCTATGAAACTAGCGCACTGAATTCCGACAATGTTGAGCATGCATTGAATGATTTGATTGAACGGATATACCATGCCAACAACATGGGCACCAAATGCAGTGACAGCTGAATTTAAAAAAACACACACGAAAAAAAGCAGAAACCAAGAAAGATGCCATCCCCTGTTTTCAAAAAATCTGTTAAGAAATTGTTGTCGAATAATATAACAGAAAAAAAGGAAAAAGAAGCAAATGTTTTTTTTATTCGGAGTACGCATGTATAGAGTGTTTAAATGAAGCGACTTGAAAGGAATAGACAAAGATATCAGTGATAAGCTTATGTTCATATATGTTTAGACAGGCTGGATAGATTTTCATAGATCCTCTGCTAATCCCAGAAAAGCAAACTTATCAAATCGAACATGTATCCTTGGTCCTGAGTCCAAAGCCATTATTTTAACACGAATTAGCCACTATCTACACTAAGGACCAATTCAAAACAGGAAAAAAAATCTTTTTCTATTGAAAAGCTAGCTTTCCTAAAGGTTTGTTTTTTTTAAACTCAATTTTTTCAGATTAATTTTTTACCAGAAAAATGGCGCGAGAGGTTTCCATTCTCAAATCGAACGTGTATCTTTGGTCCGAGTCCTAGGGATTAGCCACTATACTATGAAAAAACTATGAGAAGCATTTAATTTATTTAAACATCAGCTCTCAAAAAGTATGGTCAAACTGGATACTCAATTTTCTGATATTTTTGTTATATCATCGAGAGAGATGAATGAACAAGAGCATGGAACAAATTAGTTGCTCAACAGAGAATGCAAACATTTCCAACCACGTACGAAGTACAAGTTGCTTCAAAGGATGCTTCACTGCTCCGGAATGCAAATGTTAAAATTTTCAAAGCAGAAAATATCGTTACAACCTTTTTTGTACAATTGAATCATTTTAGTTTCAAAAAAAAAAGTTTGAATCGCAAAAATCGGTTAAATTTTTTCAATTGTTATTAAATACACAATTTTTAGTGTAAATTAATTCTTAAGCAAATAGCAGAAGTGTCTCATGTTTTTTCCCTCGAAAAAAATGAGACAAATTCAAGAAAAAATGTGAAACACCTCTTGTATCTGGAGTTGTTTCAATTTTCCTGGCGTTTTGATTTCATTTGATACTTGTAATAAAAGAGACAAGTTGGGGAAAACGCTAACTCCACTCTAAGTTTTGCCTATTTAGGCTTAACTTTGAAATTTACTAAGATCGAAAGCAATCATGTACCTACAAATTGTTCCTACTGGTTTCAGGTTAAAAAATTTCTGACTCAAAATTTCAGGACTTTTCAGTTCAACCAGCCAATCTAACTATAAATATTGGCCAAGGGCAAATGTCTATGTATTTTTTTATTAATAATTTTTATAAACAGTTTTGTTGTCACTAAGCACTTGAGTGAGACTATCAGCACTTTGATGTTTGTCACATATCCTATGTTCTATGACCTTGTGATAGCAACCCAGTCCGAAAAATGAACAACTTATATAGCTCTAGTTCATTGACTACGTTTTTAACCATGACACCGCTAGTTGTCCACGCGTAGCTTGAAGAGACCGCTCCGTAAATAGTTTTTATACTTTATAGGTTTTGTTCTTAACATTTCTGCCATCGGTGCACCATGTTTTATTTCAAAGTGACAGAGGACCTTGCTGCCATAAAAAATGATTCAAGATGCCTGAGATCACTAACACAGATGCGTCAGCATCTGATATAAACATTTCTGATCTGTCAGCATTGAAGGACCAGAGATTCGCTCATTTCACATTTGTTATTTTCAAAGGAATCCTGTGCCAAGGATTTTTTTTGCCTTTACTCCGCATGACTTGCTGCATCGGGTAACCTTTTTCGGCGTGCCCTTTGACAAACTCCCGATAGTGGTTGGCAAATCCAAGAAAATTTCAGTGTCCGTTTCCGATGCATTCCGCGTCAACACGAATTCGAACTCCTCTGAGTCTGGCTGATTCCATATATCACCACCGTGATTCCATATATCACGAAAATTTTGACTAAATTGCCTGGGATTTCCCATTTTGATGAGTCGCACTCCAACTCCGCTCGTTACATGCTCGTCTGTTTTTCAACTGCAAAGAGAAATTTATTAGTTTCCTACCAGCTACAAAGATTGCTTATTGACTCGCGGAAGTTAACCGGATATTTGTTGGTACCAAGTACGATCTGTCGAAGCTCACAGATTGGAACAGGGAGTTGCATCACGCTCGAGAGAAGAATTTTCTCAGTGGGCATTCCCAATTGGCGTCCTTAATCACAGTTATTCTTCAGCACAAGATTAGTCAAGCAAAAAAGTGCATCTCTCTATCTTCAAACTAATGTACATCACGTAAATTGTCCCAAAAAAGAGAGTAGAGCTGCTATATTTTTAACTTTGCAAACTGCATTATGAAAAGTCCAACAGTTAGGGTTTTGCGGTACTCAATAGTTGAATCAACAACTTCACCTTATACACGTTTTTCTCAACCGTATTAAAACTTTTGATCAATAGTTTTTTGTTTGCTTGGTCAGTTTTTTCATCTTTCAGGTATTTCTAGATTGTTGCCTCAATTTATCCTTGATCTAAGAGTTATGCAAGCTTTTCCGCAAAATTTTAATTGTTTCCGCTACAACTCCTGATAAGGCTTTTCATTAACCACTGACTGATGAAACCACACTAAATTTTGGTGCACTGCAAGCCAAGTAAGTTACTTAACAAAGTTTAAAAGAGTAGTTCTAATTGTGCAAATTGCAAGCTTGAAGCAATTTTTAAGGATGTTCAAACCTGTGTTAACAAATGCAAGTTTTTATCTTTTATCCTATGTCGTTTCGTTCACTTTTATTATTTATTAGTATCGATGAAAAATGGCAAGTTTTAATTTTAATTCATCTAGAAAAACTGATTGTTGAACTTTAAAAAACAAACTAACTATTAGGGATTACCGGTAGAAATTCCTGTCTTCCCTATATTGGGTTCTGACACAATAATAAAATTTGAAAACTTCTAACAACTCACACTCCCATGTTTTTTCAGTATTGTATGTTTCTGTCCAATGCTTTTGTCGAATGATGCCAGCTATTTTTTTGTTTCCTCTTTCAAAATACTGATCTTTTATTGACGGAACAACTTCTTCAGAGCACAGAAGTGGTATTAGCATCCCATTGCTTCATAAACTCTTTTACAGTGATCAAAATAACCAACCATGTTCAAAAACATCAATACTTTCATGTGTACCAGAAGTAACAAAGGTTTCAATTTCACATTTTGGTTCTGTTTATCGGTTCAAAACATAAACAAATTTTCAAAAATGCCAGCTTTGTTGTTTCTTGTTTTGAGCATTTACATATTGGAATCCAACTAACATCTCGTGTCGAGTCTTGTTGGCATATCTTGGCATCACTCTGATTAAGGGTAAAGTTGACTTGCATCAATAACTTTTTTTGATTTCCAAACATTGGAGGAATTCCCAATGAATGTTTTGTCAAATTTAGCTTATCGAATAATCAAATGGGAAAATTCATCGGTCATGTCTTGTTCTTTTTTCCACACAAACTTTAACCAGTTTTGACAAATCAGCCAACTTGTATTTATTAGATTTGGGCAGAACAAATTTGCTACATTACGTAAAGTACATCCATGTTCCACTTTTTTTCTACTACTTGAAGGGTTGCACTAATTTTCTTACTGTTGTACCACTGCAAAAAGCCTTTGAACGCAGTCATTCCGTTCTTCTACCAGGTCTCCTAAAAGTAATTGCATTTTCCCACTCAGATGAGGCCACAGTTTTGATTTGCTGATTTCACCATGCTTGCTGTTCGTCGAGTCCACTTTTTTGCAGTTTTTTATTGTCAGAAATCTTTGGTCTAGAGAATGGTTGGCTTTGAAATTTAAAAAAAATGCTGCATTTGATAGCACTAAAAACAAGGTTATCTGATTTGCGTCTCTTTCAATTCTTCTCTAGAAACACAAATTGCTTCGAAATCAAAAATGGCTGGTTTACTGAAAGTTTTGATACTTTCTGAAGTTAGAAGATTTAACCTTTTCAGTTTTTCAGACAAATTTTTGCGAGCTCATACTTGTTTGTTGGGCAAGTATGTCCCACTCGTTCCTTCAGGTCAGTAAATGTCGCATGAATCTGTATGATTTTTTAATACAAATGCCGCAAATCATACACCGAAAACACTTGAGGAAGCTATTAAGATCATTCATTTGAACAATATGATTGTCAAACCTCGAAAATTAAACTCTGTTGTCAATTATTCAAATATATTTCTGATCTAACTATTCAATTTATTCTCCTTCCTTTTTATCGAAATCGTATAAAAAATGTTGGGTTCATCTTTTTTCAACGAAAACTCAACAAAAAATCGGGTTTTAACCAATTTTTGACAAAAAAAAAACACTTTTTAGCCTTGTGTAAAAGTTTTACCCTTGTGAAAGCCAAGGTCCTCTCATCTGCTCATGTACATAGCTAGTGCGGTAAAAAAAATTGTTGGAGAACTTGTCTTTATTTGTTGAAAAAAAATTAACAGAACTTTTAGTGTTAAAGGTTTGGGAGACAGAGACCGGAGATTTTTCGAAGCAAATCAGCAACAAAATTAACAATTGTAATCAATTTGAATCTCTAACTTTTTTCCTGTCGTTCTTGGGAACACTGATTTATAAAATCAATTTTGTCTTTTTTCTTTAAATGTTATGAAGTCTGGTAATTTACACGGCAGATAGGTTTTTGTAAACAACATATTAACCTCATGGGCATTGAAATAGTGTTAATCATCAGTATCAACAGTTCGGAAAACAAGTTCTGGAACAAAATTGGTTTTTGCGGCAAAGTCGAGTTTGTTCAACACTTTGCGTTTCTCGTTAATTATCTGTGTATTTGACTTGAACTTTGAAAATTGAATATCTTTTGTATTTCGTTTTCCTCTACGTAGACACTAGAGAACACTGGCAAGTTTGCAATCTCATGTTTTCTGACTGCAAACATGTGGCTCAACTCGAGAAAGTTTATTTTTGTCTTCGAAAAAGAAGAATCCGCCGAGAAATCAAAAACAATTAAAGATAATGAGGGGTTCTCTGAACCAAAGACTTAAGTGAGCAAGACATTAGCCGCTTTGTGCTCCATTGAAATCCTGCAACACTTTCAGAACTCAGCTGCTCAAAAGCTCTTTGATTTAGTAAGAAAATTTGGTTAATGGGTTGTTTTGTTGTTTTCTTTTTTTTTCATCTAGAATTTTTAGTCTTGAGAAACAACGACAGACAAAAACAATTTTAAGAAAAAAAGGTTAATTCAATTTTGCATACAGCAAAAAAATCAATAATAGTTTTGCGTAATTTTTATAACATTTTTCGCACACATGATCAAAAGTCAAAAAAACTTTTCCATTTAGCAAAAATGATTTTTTTGTTAGACCATTTTCTTAAGAAAAATCAAAACAGACTTTTTGCTACTTTGCAAGAAATTTTCGCAAGAAAACATTTGCACATATGTTAAAAAGTAGTTTCAGTTTAAATATTTGCGATAATTTTATTGGATTTTTTGCACAACATTAAAGTTTTCAAAAACCATAATTTAACATTGATTTCCAGAGAACAAGTGAAAAAAGCGAGGGTTTTTTAAAAGTTTTTTGAAAAAACTATTTGTTTCGCATCACGCAAAAAACCGTTCCCAAAAAAAAATTACTGCAAAATTTTTGAAAATTCAAGGATGATTTTTTTTGAAACTTTTTTTCAATGAGTTCATATTCTTGATGAAACAAAACTTGAAACAATTTTCAGTCACAAAGCTCTCTAATTACATCGTTTTTGTGAATAGAAACTATTTAAATTGAAATACTATTGATTATGTAGGAAAACTCAATTGTGTATGAAACTCATGTATTTGGCATGTTCACTAATCATAGACCAAAACAATCAAAGAAACAATCAAGGTTTTTTAAGTAAAAAGAATTAAATTTTGACTTTTGAACTTTGCGAATCCTCTCCAAGAATGCTGATCTAAGAGTCTGGATGAACCCAAGCTTTTGAACGGACAGAGTTTATTAAAAACTTTTAAATTGTTTCCACAAAAAGGCACTGGGTATTTATTCTGGTATTCTTTATTTTGAATTGTGCTCAGCTGGTCGGTTTAAGGGACTGAGCACTTTACCTCTTGATTAAATTTCATTGAAGTGAACTTTGAGTTTGTACAAATAATCAGTACAGTCAACATTTTGATAAGTGAAACGGTAGTTTGTGCAAATCTTGTTGAAAGGAAAGAAAGGATCTTATTGAATATCGTACAAAATAGAAAACTTCAAAGACTTTACTCAGAAAAAGAAAAGTTTGATTTTGTTTTTTAATTATCCGATGAGGAGGCTTTCAGGAAAAACATTTTAATTGACGAATGCACTAAAAAAACGTTCAAAAACTTTTCATCAGCAAAAGCTCTTTTTTTCGTGTATCTGTAAGTTTTAGTATCCAAACATGAACCTTCATGAATTAGACCAAAAAATCCACTGTGGCGGTCTAATCGGATACGGATGTTTTCCGCAATCTCAAAAACTTCTAATATTCATGCAATTCTTCTTGATTCTGCTGGAACTGTTATTACTACAACGCAAAAAAATCTTTGTTTTTCTTATGTTGCACTTGGTCTCATGAGTTCGTGCAAAAATCAAATAATCTATTTGGTGTACTATGCACCTTCCCGAAATCAAATTGAGCAGTGGTTATGAATAATATAAGAATAATTTGTTGAGCTTGAAAAGCTTTAGACAAAAACTAAAAGCTACAAAAACAGATTTTTTTTGCAAAAACTACTGGTAAGAATTGGCATGAAAATCTGAAAGCAAAACTAACAACTTGGATGACTACGCTTTCAAGAAAATTCAAAACTTTAGTTTAAAGGTTAAAAAGCATGTAAATACTACCTTCTCATACTCTGAAATATGAATTAGATAATAATTAAATTCAACTCAGGACATGCCACAAAGCTAAAAGTTGTTAAAAACACAGTTTCAGTCTTTTTCTAAAACCCTTCCGGTTTCTTGAATCCGGTCGAAGAGCAGCTTTATCGTCACTCGGGAAGGGTAGTGAAATCCTCCCGATACCCCTCCGAATTCTCGGGAATTGCTCCGTAACGATTATAGATGCACAATCGTTACAATTCGGAATAATAAATTCCAAATTTTAATTCAAACGTTTTCGCACATTTTGTGCATCATCAGGACTAAAAATTTTTTGGTTGGAAAGACAGGAAAGACCATTAAAAAACTTGGATGAAAGGTCAGTTAGAATTTAAGATGAGGTGATTTTGCGGGTAGTCTTAAGTTTTAGACCAAAAAACCCGGTACGAGACGAATTCAATGAAATTAACTTCCTTGCTGACATTGATAGTTTTTTGTCTGAACTGAAGTTAAATAGAATACCCGGAGAAACATTATGTGAGATTGAAGGAGCTGCAAAGAGATATGTTAAGAATGTGAAACAGACCCCCTCTGACAAAGGTGTGGAAAAATCCAGAAAGCATTTGCAGGACAACGGTCTTCTGGCATTGCCGTTTGATAAGGGGGTGGGTTTTTGTGTAATAAAAAAGGAGACACATGAGAAAAAACTGAAACATTTATTACAGGCAGAACAATTTAGTGAGAGGAAGAATCTGACAGACAGCGTGATTATGGAAATTGAAAAAGATATAAACAAAGAATTACTCGCCATGAAAAAGAAGGACGAGATTAGCGAAGCGCTGTATACTAGGTTGAGATAAACGGGAGCGCAGCCGGCTAGGCTGTATGGATTAGCAAAAGTACACAAACAAGGCACACCACGTCGTCCCGTCCTTTCTTTACCTGGTAGCTCATATAACAACCTAAATAACGCATTGGCAAAGTACTTTGATGAAATTGAGGGGGCAAACACAGAAACTAACACTCAAATGGCCAAGGAGATCTTGGAGAAAATTGAGCTGAACTCTGACGAGAATATAATCTCCCTTGATGTGAAGAGTTTGTACACTAATGTCCCGCTCAAGGAAGCGGTTGAAATAGCCCTGAGGAGATTATATGAGCAATTCAACCCTCCGGAAACATCTCGCAAGACTATGAAAAAACTACTGAATTTGGCAGTGAGTAAGGTACACTTTAAATGCAATGGTTTGTGGTATGTACAAAAAGACGGTTTAGCATTGGGCGCCTCCCTTGCAGTAATTATAGTCAATTTGTGGCTCAAAGAATACGAACCTGCATTAACGAAAAAAGTACCAAAATTGACTGTGCTAAGTGAGGATAACAAGGAAGTGTGCCCTAGATGTCAGAAAAGGGTGATATATGGGACAAAAGGGGTAGAATGCGAAGATTGTTTGAATTGGTATCACTTAGGGTGTGGTAACATATCGGAATCCGAATACGCAGACGTCGCTGAAACAGTATGGTTTTGCATGACTTGCATAAAAACAACAGGAAGCAGATCGGACTGTGATTGGTGTTAAAGTTTTTCTACGATATGTGAACGACATAGTTAGAACGGTCAAGGACGATCCTGTGGTAGTTCTCGAGGCTGCCAATAAGTTGCATCCAAACTTGCAGTTCACCATAGAAGAATTTGATAGTAACGGTAATTTGGCCTTTTTTGACTTAAATAATGTAACATTAGCCCGGAAGTACATATCGACGGAAAATGAAGCTAAGCTATAAAACGACTGGCCAGCGTCTAAACAGAGCACTACATGCTTTTCACCGTCTCTACCAAAGCCAGTACTTTTGGCGGTCTTTCTAACAGCGGGTCGACAAAACGTTACTGTTCTCTGGCTTCGACAAGAATGCTCAAATTAACTTACTTACATGAAAAATTAGTGAGCTCATGGCTAGGTCTCAGTATCCCCAGATCACGAGGTCACTCCTAAAAACAGCGCTACTACTATTTTTTATATTACCATTGTTTTTATTCAGTAGCTAAAAATCATCATCTCCATCGAAGTTGGATCAACCCTTTCCCTTAACTCCTAGCTTCTCATCGTCAGAAAATGAATCCAGATGTTAATTAAATTCAATTCAGGGCATAACTAGGAAGCTAAAAGTTCGTATAAAACAGTTTGAGTTCAAGTCCCAAGAACCCTCCGGATTCCTGAATCCGGGGAAAAACACCCTTATTTCCTCTCCGGAAGGCTTGTTTCCACCCTTAACGTTAGCGTGAATGGCCTTGCAACAATTGTAGCACCACAATCGTTGCAACTCGGAGCGGTTTCTGCTAATACTCTGTCGTATTTCTCTATTTTTCGTCGTTTTTCTCACAACTGTCGTGGTTGTTGTTTTCGCAACTATTATTGTTACTCTGTTTTTATTTTGGATTTCTTCCAAAATGGCGGTTTTTGACGTTTCTCAGAAAAATGACGTCACGATTCGAATTTTTGAGAATTTCCGAATCCTTCAGCCGTCACGATTTTTCTAATCGTCTGAATAACACTGTTAATCCTCTAAAACTGCCAATTCGGAAGGTTAGCTGCTAGCCCTCCGATACTGTCTTTTTGTCAATTCTGGTCGAATGTCACATACTCCCCGGACAGCCCGGTCAATGTCCCCATTGAATCTCGTAGTCTTCGTAAAATTGGTACAGTGCCATCAAACAGAATTTACAAAATGCACTAAATCACTTTTATCCACGTCATACCGACTCACCGCAGGATTTAAATGGCATCGTACTACACTACTAAAGCCTTCCAAATTCTTTCACTTAATCTGCATTTTTGAGGATATGACCTAAGATTAAACATTTTTTCTGACTTCCAATGTCTATGCCCTGATTTCAAAAATTTTTCTCCTAAGTTTTGAAAGGTGTCAGTTTGCAGGACAGTCCTGCCAATCAACAAGTTAAAATCTACTATGCTTCTTCCCTTCGGAAATTTTAGTTGTTATTTGTCCTGAATATTAAAATTAAGGAACTCTGTGGTTAGAAAGAACAATGAAACAATCTCCCTCTTCAAGAGTTTATCCAAGTCTTTCATGTCACCACAAAGTGATCAGTCGTCCTAGTTGAATAAAAACAATCATGCAGGCTAGAATATTTAAAAATACCCTTCACTCAAGCCTTTTTAAATAAATAGTAAGTGTCTCTAAAGCCACTAACTAAAATCAAAATGCAAATTTATATATGCAACAAATTCTTTTAATGTTCAAAACTCAACTAAATGTTTTCTTTCAGTTTCAATTACAACTTGGTTACTTAGTTTCTCACTTGAGTTTTTTGTCACACATTTAAAAAAAATTCTGAGTTTTAATTTCTTCTCTTTCGTCACTTCTTTGTTTCTTCTTTTTTCGTCGTTTATAAGTTCAAAAACTTCTAAATTCTTCTAAGTTTCTTTCTTTTCGCATCTAGTTTTCCGGCCATTTGTCAATGCTCCTCCTCTTGCGGCATTGACACTGCACTTTCAGTTTCTGTGTCTTGCAACACATCGGTAGCTATTCTGACGCTGTTCGAAGCAGTCCTTGAACACTTCTTCTCTTCTACTCATTGCTTACAACAAGGTAGGGGGTCAACGTTAGATTCTCTGTTCCTGTAGAAGCTGTTGTGGAGACACAACGTCACGTTTCTCTTCAAACCTTCCTTCAACATCTCTTCTTTCTCCCTTCCATCACGTTCACTCATCCTGGAGATTCTCTTTATTGCGGTGGTCACTGCATTCCGATGAATTACAAAAGCTCGTTTGAAAGCTCCTGCTCCAATGTCTAGCTGATACGTACTGTACACTCCGCCGTGCTACAACATATGCTTCTTGGCATACTCGTACAATCATGCAGTCATGTTGGCTCTGAACCATGGCATCAGTCGTGTTCTTGCCCATATCTGTTTCATTTCCATTGGAAGTTTCAGAATCTTGCACATTGTCTCAAAAACATCTAAATCTTTTAGACAATACAAATTTTGCAATTGTTCTCTGGTTGGTGCCTCCTGTCTATTGTTCTCTTTTACATGAGCTTCCAGCCATCGTATCGTCATCATTACTCCCACTATCACTATAGTTATGGGCCGTGATGAGTCTGGTAAGCCCATGGAGAGCAGCTCTCCACAGTCCCAGATCAACACCAGATTACTACGCCCGGGGTACCACCATCTTTGCAGCAAGCAATGGCAGGAAAACTCACCATGTGTTAACATGATGCCTCTCCAATTCCGCTTTCCCGAAGCTTCCAAAAGTGGTTCCACTTCCATCATCACTCGGTGGTCTTCATCATTCTCATCTACTGTGTTGTAATCCGTAACGGTTGATCCTCTCTGTTTTTGTCTTTCAAAGTCACTGAAGTTCCCACTGACGTATCCCATGAACTTCTTTCCCAGTATCGATTATAACTCCTCCTTAGTTCTCTCAACATTTTGCACAGTAACTCATAAGGTTTTTCCGACATTCTCGCTAGTCATACACACTTTGGCACTGAGAAGGCCTGATCCACTATCGTTCTCGTACTTTTTACATCCACAGCTACGAAATGCATTGGGTATCTGCTCTTGCACATTGGATCTAATGTCGATCCCACCAAACATCGCGCTCCCGATGGTCTTCGATAAGTTTCACTGGGTCGGATGTTCATTTCCGCCTCGATCGCTTCCCTCCACTTTCCTATGTGCTTTTGCTCAGTCTTCAAAACTCCTGGGAACCTTTCCACACTGATGGCCGTGACCATCTCATGTTTCTGTTCTAGATTCAATAGTGACTCTAAATAACCAAACATGCTGTAGAATCCTAGTGCAGTCACTAAATTAACATCGTTTCCTCCATGGCAATCTGCGATCAGCTCCGTTTCCATTTTCGCTTTCATCACAATGTTTCCAAACATATTGTCAACTACTTGTGTTGTTTCTCCAGGGTTTTCACGCAACCCAGACCTCCACAGACATGACCTTCCAGTCCACAAACTTCTGCCAGACAGCTACCAGGTTTAACCCAGTCCTCTGGTCCCCAGCCAGGCAACTCTACTTTGTCCTCTCCATTGCTCTTAGAGGCTGTAGTCATCACGTTATAGATGATATTAAGATCACGCAGGTTACAGTCTGAATTTGTTTCCCTCTGTACGTCTTGTGTTGCACGTAATATCGAATCAACGTTGGGACTCGGACACCATGATGGTTTCATCAGTTCACGCACTACCATCAAACTCGTTCTCAGCAGTTCGTCTGAGAATCCCAATCCAAATTCTACCCGGTTGTCCGATTTTGGCACTGAAGGTGCAGTCACCTTTTCCACCAAGACTAGTCCAAGTGAGCTCTGGTATCCTTGGAGTTCTTTCTTCTCTCTCCTTTCTCCTTTATGTCCATTCCTCGGAACCATAAATTATTCGACATCGCCACAATTACTCGTTGGTCGTCATCTATTCCTGGCTTCAACTTGAGCTGTCGACTGAAGTTGGACAGTTCCAACCCCAGCACTTCGTCCAACACTAGCATGTGTAGTGAATGGTCCTTGAATCCTCTCATCGCTTTCGAGATGTCCGACCACACCGCAGGTATTTCAGCCCTGAGTGGTCTCAGATTCTCCATTTCTATCTCGCGATTTGAGGCCGATATGATCACATCATATTTTCCTTCCGAGAGCAAAGTCACAATCGCATACGCGAACTTTAGTCCATCCGGGAGACGTGCATACCCCGGAGACAGTGCAAACACGGCTCTCGGTGTTATCTTGGTGAAGGAACCTTCTTTCAGGGTATCCACTACTTCACCCATTCACTCGAGGATATCTTTTATCGCTGGCCATACAGCGGTTTCAGCCGTCGTAGG